TACGTGGCACAAGTAGTTTGCATACACACGGCGCAAGTAAGGCAGGCACATGGTAGAAATAGTTGGTATGCACGTGACAGAAGCAACTAGTATGATGCCAAATGAGTTAGAAGTATGAGAAAAGTGGGAGGACGGTTACCATCTTGTCAAATGTTATCCTTAAAATAGGAAAGTGATGAAGATAGAGGTCAGAGACATGACAGAAGTGGTTTGGCATACGTGGCCACGTTGGCATAGAGAAATTGATACCAGCCACTGTGGGAGCATGTCTGGATCATTGGGAATGCTCGAGACTATGGAGAACACGTCCAAAACACGAACTACAAGTCTTAGAACGTGGAATTAAGGATTGAGAGGCTCATGGCAATAAGGAGCGTCCAAAACCGATACCAACCTGTGGGAATCGCGTCCGAAACTTGGGGAACGAGTGTTAGAATATGAAATGAGACCCTGGAGAAAATGAGTTGGCTAGTCACAAGGCTCTAACGTCAATGTTCGATCATAACTTACAAGATATGCAAGGGTTTATGCTTAAAAATATGGGTGATGTGTTTAAACCAATGATTGTTGACCTATATAATGATTTTTTTTTTTGTGAACCAATATAGTCATTTGAAACAACTTATTAAAGCACTTTTAGTAACTTTTGGGGGTGGCGAGGGCTTGGTAAGTAACAGGTTTAGGTATTATGCCAGGTGGAGCCTGGTGGTATGCCAAAAACAAGCCTAGAAACTCTAGTATGAAAATCCCTTTGCCTAAATCTATTATACGGATACCAATTCATTCTAAACTTTTTAATTTGATCAATTTAGTCCTAAGCCTTTTAGTGAAATTCCAATATAGTCATTTTGATCAAATTTCGCTGGCAATTATTGGCGTGGCGGTCTAATCATCGCCAGTCATCTTATGTGGCACATCGTTACATTAGTGATTTTCAGCGAAAATTTACTAGAAGGACAACAACGCAAAAGCTTAGGATTAAATCGGCAAAATTGAAAAATTTAGGACTAAATTGTCATCCATACAATATATTTAGGACTAATCGGATAATTTCCCCTCCAGAAAATGCCAATTCTAATGTGGTGAATGTGCGGTCCATCGGGCTAAATCAAAATGCTGATGGTGTGCCCTAAAACGGCCTAAAATCAATTCAAAAATCAAAATCGAGTTGGTAGGCTACCAAACTCTTTATCAAATGTCAGCCAAAAATTGACAGCTGTCTAATGCCGACCTTCTAGCCAGACCATTGTGGGGATAACCTAGGGATAGAGCGCTCGAATTTAAGATCAAGTGAGCCCAATTTATGTTAACCATCAGATTATGTGGTTCCCACGTGGGTTCACAATATTTAATGATCGAAATAAAGTGGGTTCACACGATCCGGATAAAAACAAGATATTTTGCTAATCGAAACCAAATCTTCAAGGAGAACACATCGAATATTTACCTTTGGAACAACCCTATGAGGCTATCAAATTAGCGCCATGTTCACTAGTTAACCGAAAGTAGAATTAACATTTTTGGGGAAGATCTTTGAAAAATGAAGAGGTACGCATTATAAGAAAGTTATTTGTTTCAACTGAAAATAATATTGCAATTTCAAAACATATTAAATAAGATTATAAGTGCCCTGGCGACGCTTTTTGATATTTTTCATCTAATTTTGGTGTTTGGGTGAAAGCTCGAGATTGAAAAAGTAGCTCATAGAAATACTTGCCCGGACCCAGGTCTGCTAAATTGTATCTATAATAACCATTCATTCGGTGGGATCAAAAAGTACTCTAATGAACCCGAATTTGGAGAAGAAATTTGTGGAACGGGAGAGGCTTTTGGCACCATGAAACTAAAAAAAAAAAGAAAAACCGAAGTCACAAAAGTATCAAAAAGACACCACCCGCCTGGGTGGCGTCGCTGGAGCGGGCGCTCTTCCTCTCGCAAAAGGTTGAGCGTTCGAATCATGGGCGCCGCAGGGTGACTTAACCGGTGACACGTGTGTGGTAGCTAGCACGTGTCGCCCCCAGGGTTTACCCCCCGGCTGTCGGCCGTGCGAGGGTTTCCTGGGTTACCAAAAAAAAAAAGTATCAAAAAGAGACCGTCTTTGCTCGTAACTCTCACCCACACTTAGACCCATCAAACGGGTGAATCGGGTAAAAAATGATCCAAATCAAATTGACCCATCCCGATCCATAATACTAAGATACTTCCATCAAATCTAGGAAACCTCATACTGAAACTCGAAGTGGGTAAGTGAGCGCGAGATCGAGTGAGGACGGGAGAGAACGAATAGTATTTTATTAATGTGAGTTGAATCTAAATAAGTTGTGAACCCATTTAATACTCATATTATTTTTAATTTTATCATTATAAATTTATTTATGACCCATTTACATAACGAAAATAACTCATCTTGTCATTGCATCGCACGTAGATCTCCGAAAGCCGACTCTTTGCTTGCTCCGAAAGCCAGAAAAGAAGCAAAAGGCCTCTTGTTGTCTCGCGTCTCTTTTGCCAATTTCCATCGCCACCTGTTCCTCTCACACGCCAGACAATTGGACAGCTTCTTCGTACGCAATTCACATCATAGCCAAAAGACGTTTTTCTTTTGTGAAATAGAAAGTATATGGAAATGTCACTCGAAATGCGATATGGGCGTTTTCGTAAGTTCGATTCAAAAGTGAAAGACTGCGTCCCTATCTCGTTATCTCCAGCGTCTCTAAGTGCAGCCCATTATCACATCCATTTGTAGGCGTCGGATCAACCGCTTATCGCATGACTGTATCCCAAGTCCAGGAACTATGTTCTTGGGAAGCTTCTTGCTGCAACACAGAACCACCGTCGGTGAAGTGGAATTCGCATGCTAGGGTCCATAGTCAAGACCATCTGACCAACGGTTGTGATGGACTTAGCTTAGTAGACACTCGATGCGGACGCAGACAAGCGTTTCTCTTATTATTATCGTGTGAATTCGAATAGATATGCTCCATTGGGCCAAGTGGTCCTCGTGCAATTCAACGGATTACGTGGCCTTTGTATAACATTGCTGTGATTCAATTGTCGGAATATGTTGAGCCTGCGCTCGATGTGGACGTAGACAAGTGTTTCTCATATTATTATCGTGTAAATTTGAATGGATGTGCTCCATTGGATTGATTGGTCTTCGTGTAAGTCAATGGATGGCGTGGCCTCACGTGATTCAATTGGCGGAATGCATTGAGTTTCTACGTGAAGAAAGGTTATGCAAAAATTACTCTTAAAAGTCATGAGATTTAGTTTGGTGGATAGTGAGTTGGCCCTCGCAAGTAAGTACCTTTTTCTTTAATAATAAATCACGCGTTAGCACACGAAATTTCACATAATGTCAGAGCAAAAAGTGGGTGACAAGGATATCAACATATTTTAAAATATAAGATCGCATTTTGATCTCATAATTTGGACTTTTAGGCTGCGCATGACAACAATTCTGTGCCCGGGAACAGATTCTGCTGAGAAATGATTCTTTTTTATTCTGTGCCCGGAATTGATTCTGAGCATTTTAAGGCGTTTGTTAACGGCCCAAAATTCCATCCCTGGAATAGAAAAAGAACAAAAATGCGTTTAGTAACACCACAAAATTTCTTTTTATTAATAATATTTTTAAATATTTTAATATTTCTTTATTTTTTTTCTTTTCTTTTTTTCTTTTCCTCCTTCTTGGCCATGGCTTGCTCGTTGGCCATGACAGGTAAAATATTTTTTTACTAATAATATTTTTATTAAAAGTATTTTTTCTTTTTTTTGGCCATGGCCTGGTCGCCGGCCATGACCGGTAAAATATTTTTTTTATTAATAATATTTTTTATTAAAAATATATATTATTATTATTTTTGCCATGGCCGGTAAAATATTTTTTTATTAATAATAATTTTTATTAAAATTTTTTTATTAAAAATATATATTTTTATTTTTTTTGGCCATGGCCTGGTCGTCGGCCATGGCTGGTAAAATATTTTTTTATTAAAAATATATTTTTTTCTTTTTTTTGGCCATGGCCTGATCGCCGGCCATGGCCTGTAAAATATTTTTTTTATTAAAATATTTTTATTAAAAATATACATTTTTAATTTTTTTTGCCAAGGCCTGGTCGCTGGCCATGGCCGGTAAAATATTTTTTTTATTAATAATATTTTTTATTAAATATTTTTACTAAAATATATATATATTTTGCCATGGCCTGGTCACCGGCCATGGTAGGTAAAATATTTTTTTTATTAAAATATATTTTTTTCTTTTTTTTGGCCATGGTCTGGTCGCCGGCCATGGCCGGTAAAATATTTTTTATTAGTAGTATTTTTATTAAAATATTTTATTCTCGTCAGATCTGGCGAGGGTGGTTCTCGAGCCGGACATTAGAAGCTACATTAAAAACCAAGAAAAGGAAGAAGAAAAAAAAATTGATTCTCAAAATTGTTCTCAGAATCAAGAAGTTACTTTTTTTTTATTCTTGAAAACTGATTCTGGGAACAATTTTTGACAAAATTGTGCCCAGAATCAAAAAATTAAACAAACGCATTTTTGTTCCTAAACTGATTCTGGGAACAAAAGAACAGAATCAAATACTGTTTAGCAAGTTGTCATGCGCAGCCTTAAAGTAACCGGCAAGACAATAATCACACAGACGATGCAACATACGGGCCAATTACCTTCCTCCCGCGAAAGCCACGGATCGACTCCCTTATGCAAATTTCGAAATCTTCGTCTTCTATGGGGCCAACTTCGGTTAGATATACCAATCAAACGAGCTTTGCTTCGGCGATACAGAAATCTTGGCTCCAACATTTCGTACCCAGTTAGTGAATCGTTAACGCCGATCGCCTTAGTACGTTTAAAAAAAAAAAGAAGAAGTTAGAAGGCCGTAGGAATCAAGAATATTCCTTTCCACGTCCAAATCTTCGCACTGTTTAGTCTTTTTCAACTTTGCTTGCCGTATCAGAAACCCAACTAGATAAACTAAACCACCATCAAACCTCAAACTTGTCACATAGAGAGGGAGAGTAATGACCGAAGCGCTGAAGCGAGACTACCGAATCTGCGAGGAGATCGGGCGCGGCCGCTTCGGCGTCGTCTGCCGCTGTGAGCCCCTCCTCCGCCCCACCACCGCCGCCGCGCCGCCACCCCCGCCCTCCTTCCTCGCCGTCAAGTCCATCGACAAGTCCGCCGCCTCCGGCGACGACCTCGACTCCCACTGCCTCCTCATGGAGCCCAAGGTGCTGTCCCTCCTGTCCCCGCACCCGAACGTCCTCCGCATGCACAATGCCTACGAGGACTCCTCCCACCTCCACCTCGTCCTCGACCTCTGCGACTCCCCTGACCTCCACCGCGCCGTCGCCTCCACCGGTCCCCTCCCGGAGCCCGACGCCGCCCGGGTCCTCTCCCAGCTGATGCGCGCCGTCGCCCACTGCCACCGCCACGGCGTGGTCCACAGGGACATCAAGCCCGAGAACATACTCTTCGACTCCCGGGGCCGGCTGAGGCTAGCGGACTTCGGCTCCGCGGAGGTGATCGGCGGGGGAGAGCCGGCGGCGGAGGGGTTGAGGGGGGTGGTGGGGACGCCGTACTACGTGGCGCCAGAGGTGGTGGAGGGGAGGGAGTACGGGGAGAAGGTGGACGTGTGGAGCGCCGGGGTGGTGCTGTACGTGATGCTGGCGGGGTTCCCGCCGTTCTACGGCGAGAGCGCCTCCGAGATCTTCGGGGCGGTGCTGAGGGCGAACCTGAGGTTCCCGCCGCGGGTCTTCCGGTCGGTGTCGGCGACGGCGAAGGATCTGCTCAGGAAGATGCTGTGCAGGGATGTTTCCAGAAGATTCACTGCCGATCAAGTCCTCAGTGAGTTTCTTCTTTCCTTTTGGGTTTCTTCGAATCATTTAAGTTCTGTTGTTGCTGTAATTATTCATCAAGTGTTTGAATGAACTGAAAAATTCGATCTTGAAGCCGTATCATCAATTCTTAGATTCACCTTCAGCTTCAGTTAATTTTCCCGGTCCGTGTTATGGTGATCCTTTGAACCATCAATCCATTTGGGTGGTGTTCTTTTCCCAGAAAAAACTCAGAAAGAATTACTGCGTCAGAAAGAAACAAAGAACTCACAGATGAAAGATGAGCACTGTATCTGTGGGGACAATGTGTACTATGAAAATTGATCTGGACCCGTTGCAATCTGTCTTATCTTTAGCTCAAAATCGATGGATAGTAATTGTTTATGTTTTAACTGGATAAGTGATGGTCATGATGATGATGCAGGGCATCCATGGGTGACCAGCTTTGGAGGAGCAGAAGCGACCGATCTACAAATCTTAACCTGAACGGAACGAACAGCTTTTGGCTCGAGCATTAGTAAGAAGGCACGCGTCTACTATGTATAGTTTGTGAAGGGAGGGTGCTTGATGTGAATATAAATAGGCATGAAGGAGGGGAGGGGAAGTGACTGGGGGCTTCTCAAGAAGGTTCTTGTTGTGATGTAGATGGGATTTCCTGAAGGAAGTAAGCCACTGTTTACTCTGTTTCCTTTGAGGGGGATTGCGTTAGTAACTTTGTATCTTGTAAGAGGTTAGGCTCCATGGAAATTTCGCAGTTAAGGAAGACTTTGTCTGGTTTGATATACTCTGTTCTCTCTCTCTCTCTCTCTCTCTCTGATATGAGCGAGTATTATTTAGCAGATGCAGACAAATTTGGACTTGCTCAGATTCCTCCGTACCGTACCACTGTTCCGTAATTTATCGCTTTCCTATCTCAAATATATTGCGTACTTGCCAAGTGTCGAGTCTGCCTATTCTCTCTGAATCCATTGGTTGATTGGCACGTGTAATGGCGGCTCACTATTTAAATTTTGGTTTAGCATCACAAAAAACACAAATCGATAGACTTATGATAAATTTATCTATTATTAAATATCTAAAATTGGTACATTTATGAAAAATTTATTTTTTGATAGTTTAGTTAAATTTTACCGTTAAATTACTGAGTTAGATAACACGTGACAGTTGACGGATATATCAATTTAGGGTTTTATTCCTCAGTTTGTCACAGATTTATTAGTTTGTGATTTTTCGTAGTATTAACCTAATTTAACGGATGGTAAATTTATCACAAGTATCTGTTTGGGGTTGAAGTAAATTTGTCATAGGTGTACCAGTTTGAAAATTTTTATTATCAAAAAATTAATTTGAATTAAATTTATTTCAAATATACCATTTTTCGTGTTCTTTTAAGCCAATAGAAAATGAAGGTCCTTAAACATGAAACTGAGGTTGAAAAATTTGGATGTAGTTATTATCTTCTATACGTGAAATATTCTTTAACTTGATTGAAGCTCTCGAGTCAAATTCCCATCATTAACTGGGGCTTGCCTTGTCAGTATTGGGATGCGATGTGATTTGCATATTGATGGAAATTTCTCGAACTCAATCAACCATCAATTTGGCTGGTGAACTTTGCAATGGCATACTTTCTATTTCGTAGAAGAGCGGGACTGTGGATTTTGCACATGTAATGCTTGATTTGCAAAAATATTTTGAATTCATGGTTCCTTTTATTTCGCGGAAAATATTTCTCAATATTTGATTGCTTAGGAATATGAGTCAATAGAAAATATTTTTCTGGTCAATGGAAAATCTATACTTAAATTTAGGAAAATGATTGCCTATTTGAAAAAGTCGAAAAACATTTTCCAAAATATATCTAAGTATCAGCATTTGAATCCAAAACTCTACATTTGGACACGAGAACTCCAACGCTGATTTCTGAATCCCCGACAATCAGGACCAGGTCTCTGGCGCTCGCGCAAGGATCCATCGAGGTCGGGCCCGGGTCCCCAGTGTCCACGTCCGGGTCCATCTAGGCCGAGCCCAAAGCACTAGTGCTCATGCCCTCGTGCTCGATGACCCAACACCTGAGCTTGGGTGCATAAAGGCCGTGCTTGAGTCCCTGATGCTTAAGCTTCGGTCCTCGACACTAAGGCCCGGGTCCACGAAAGTTGTGCTCGGGTCCTTGGTGCTCAAGCTCGGGTCCTTAGTTAATAAATCGTTCGTTCTAATAAAAATATATGTTTTTTAAATTGAAGTTTTTATTTTTATTTTATTTTCTTTATTTTATTTTTGCTTCTTCCTTGGCTGATCGGTTGTCGGCCACGGCGACTAGGCACAAGCAAGGGACTAGCTTGCCTTAGGCCGGCGATGCTTAACCTCACTAGATTTTGGTGAGGTTGAGCTTGCCCAGCTGGCAAGATCGGAGGAGGCTCAAGCTTGTTGGCCTCGGGCAAGCTTGACCTAGCCGGAAGCTGGCGAGGTTGAGCCTCGCCGGCCTAGGGCGAGCTCATCCCACGCGTATGGCAGGTCGCGGCGATCTCCATGGCCGGCGATCGGTTGAGGAAGAAAGAAAAAGAAAAAGAAAGAAAAAGAAAAAAATAAAATAATTAAAAAATTCGATGGTAATTTTCTGCAAGGAAAATCATATCAAATATGAAATAGCAGAAAATATTTACTAGTTCATTTTCTGATTTTAGCCAAACATCTGAAAATATTGTTATTTTCCTGGAAAATGACTCTCTAGCAAGCATTTTCCAAAACCATTACATTTTCCACAAAAAAAAAGTCTAAAGTAGTATTGATTTTTTTAAGTGAACTTGAAACATATCATAAGTACGTAGGACGTGCAATAGGTAATGGTTTTAGAGTGAGGAATGATAATACTTGAAAAAATGTTAAAGGAGAAATACCCAACAGACTCATATGTGTATTTGTGAGGGGTTTTCTCGCAATTCATGTAACCAAGAAAAAAATATGAGAGACTTGACACTACAAAAAAACACCGGATTAGCGACGGAATTTGCGACGGAAAACGTGGAAAAATTCCGTCGCTAATCGTTCGTCGCAAAATTTTGCGACGGAAAATTCACAAGTTCGTCGCAAATTTGCGACGAAAAAGAATTCGTCGCAAAATTCGTCGCAAATATTCCATCGCAAATTTGCGACGAACTTTGTCCGTCGCAAATATCCGTCGCAAAATTCGTCGCAAAATTTGCGACGAACGTTTGTCCGTCGCAAAAATCCGTCGCAATTTCGTCGCAAAATTTGCGACGAGCGTTTGTCCGTCGCAAAATTCGTCACAAATTTTGCGACGAACATTTGTCCGTCGCAAAATTCGTCGCAAAATTTGCGACGAACGTTTGTCCGTCGCAAAATTCGTCGCAAAAAATCCGTCGCAATTCGTCGCAAATTTCGTCGCAAAATTTGCGACGAACGCTTGTCCGTCGCAAAATTCGTCGCAAAATTTTGCGACGAACGCTTGTCCGTCGCAAAATTCGTCGCAAAAATCCGTCGCAATTTCGTCGCAAAATTCGTCGCAAAATTTGCGACGGACGTTTGTCTGTTGCAAAATTCGTCGCAATTTCGTCGCAATTTTCGTGATAAAATTTGTCGCGAATTTCGTCGCAAATTAGTGATATACTTTAATGATAGCAAAATTCGGCTTAAAATATTCGTCGCTATTTTTATATCATTTCGGCCATAAATTCTTATCCATATCAATCAAAGGAAACAATGATATATAATTGAAACAGAAAAACGAACAAACCATAAATTCTGACAAACCAGCCACAATGACATATAATTGAAACAAATAACAGAAGGAAAGTTGTAGAGTCTTACATGATACTATTTGATATCCAATCTTACAATACAGTCAAAACATGAACTAAGAGACGGGACAACCATAGAAGACGCAAAAAAATCATACAGAAGAAGACGCGGCTTTGGTACGATGGCAGGACACCAAAAGTAGTCACTTTTGTCGAGACCTGAGGAAATGTCGATACATAAATCAGTCCAGAATATAAAAAAAGCGTTTATGCAAATTTGCGACGAATGAATGAAAATTCCGTCGCAAAATTTGCGACGGATTTGAGTATCCGTCGCAAATTTTGCGACGGAATTTTCATTCATTCGTCGCAAATTTGCGACAGAATCAGGTATCCATCGCAAATTTGCGACGGATACTACGTTCTGTCGCAAATTTGCGACGGAATTTTCATTTATTCGTCGCAAATTTGCGTCGGAAACTATTTCCGTCACAAAACGGCGTGGCCGTTCGGCCTCATCCAAAGGCCGGCGAGGTGTCGCCGGTCGTTAAACCGGTGATGCAGATACAAAAAAAAAAACAAACATAAACATATATTAAAAAAACGGAAATTACAATGCAACGACGAATAGTCACGAAGCTAGCTACGACACTTACCGGTACAAAAGCTTCACCAAGATTAATATGTGTGTGCGCGAATTTTGCTTATTTCAGACAAACGAAAGAGGGAGAAAAACGAGAGAGAGCAAGAGAGAGCGAGAGTGAGAGATAGGGTTGGAATATCACGGGCTGATAAACTACGAATTTGCGACGAACGAAGTTTTCGTCGCAAATTTGCGACGGACTTACAATGCCGTCGCAAATTTGCGACGGATTTTGCGACGGTTTTATTTTCCGTCGCAAATTTGCGACGAAAAATAAAACCGTCGCAAAATCCGTCGCAAATTTGCGACGGAAATAAACCATCGCAAATTGCGACGGAAAATATAATCCGTCGCAAATTCCGTCGCAAATTTGCGACGGAAAAACGTTCGTCGCAAATTTCCGTCGCAAATTTCGTGTTTTTTTGTAGTGTGAAGTTAGACATGGTTATTTTGCTCGTATTAGATTTAAGGTTGAAAATGGTGTTTGTGAAGTCGTGCAGCATGTTCCCAAGCATAATCATGCATTTATGCTGGGAAATCAAAAACACTTGATAAGATGTGGAAGAATGACCGCTTATACTTAGAAGGGTGTGTACAAGCATTCATGTAGATGCAACCACCATACATCATGCCATTAGGAATTATGAATAGATTTTGCCCGTTTACTAGTCAGGTATTTACATGAAACTCATCTTTGATCCCAGTGTTGTTTCATTTTTGTTACTACTCTAATGTTAATTGCTAATTGTTGCTCGTCTATAGATGTTGGAATTTTGAGATAATATCTATTCAGACACATTACTTAGTAAGCTATAGCTTTTTCCTAAATATATTATTTCCTTAGTATAGGGATCATCAAACTCTTTTCAACGTACTGTGGAGCCATTGACAATGCAGGGTTGCACCATAATTAGTCCGTTGCAAGGGACAGTTGCACTTGATGGTGCCATATTGGGGTTTTCATTGGTTAACATAGTTTCTGATAATCTGGAACCAAACTTGTAATTTGTTGCATTAGCATTATGTTTTTTGCATCATATTTTGCATATGCTGGACAACTTCATATGACTTTCGATATCAAATATAAAGTTAATATACGAAGATGCTGTTGTTGATATATTGTAAGAAATTTGCGGCAGCTTTAAAATATGTTCATTATAAAAAATATAACATACAACCCTTCATAACGCAGTTATAATACAACTCGACTACAATTCAATTATAGTTATATCAAACGGTTTTAAGTGAGGTAAAAGATTATAATCAAGTATCTAAATAAGCATGTCCGATCAGCATTTAATAATGCACCTTCGACCACATTGTCCATCTTATTTCACGAGAAAGTTTTCAAGTTTTCTGGAACAATAAATTCCCCCCTCTTGATTGTCGTGCCTAGCCCATTTCACCAAACAAGTTAGAGACATTTGATTTCTTGTATTCATTTTCGATGGAGCAGTTAGTCAAGCATTTAATAGAGACGTGTGCTCAAGACTAGTGTCACGGGTCGACAGTTACTTGGCCACGGAATAACTCATGCGGCGCTTGGTGAGTCGATAAGACCCCAGGCCAGCCTTCCTTCTATAGTTGTTCTTAAAAATAGCACGACGGATCGCATCATCGTATTAGATTGTACCACGCCCAGCTTAGTTCGGGCATTCAGTTCCTCGAGCAAGACACACATAATACTTTATGCACAACAACTGGCGGCATTAGCTCCCGACGAGTTTGTACACGGGAGGCCAACCCTTAGTACAAAATACCCTGACATCACTCCCACGAACCAGTTATATCATCCCCTCCGTACACTCACTCTTCACCCCGACGGCATCAAGCTCCACTTACAAGAGTACGAGAGTATGAGAGAATCATGGTCCGTGACATAAGCATCTCACATGTTGCAGTTAGTTGTGCTATCTCCTCATGCATGACGTGCACAGTATCTCATATGTCATCCTCGAGAATACCCATATGATCGTTCATAGCAGGATGCGATCCCTCAATGAACCGATCCACTGATCGAGTGCTGTGAACGATGCCCCTAGGCCATCTAGGGTATTCACCTTAGTCTCCAAAATCCCCAATTGGTTTCTAATCTTCGGTCATTCGAGTGTCGACCATGATTAGAAAGTCTGGTCCATTGGTCTAGTTCCACAGCGCGTGATGTTGCGATCCTCAGTCAAGAGCCACACACCAACGGGCTCAAGCGCGCAATGCTTGAATGCAAAGCCGCACACACAGTTCTGCAGGATTATTTGTATGGAAGCAATGCGGGTTGTGCGAAAAATATTCTGGTAGTTGTATTAATCAAGATTTAAGCAATGTACATAAAGTGAAGTGTCGGAAGAGGAGAGCTTTTTGTGTATCTAAAGCCCTGTATAGATTTTTACAGACATTCCCTAATACATTCTAGTACGAGTAGGCATTACATGCGCTTGAAATTATACCATCTAGAAATTATGAAAAATAGGAAAATTCCTACAATATGTTGACGTGCGCTTGGTCCAATATGTTGACATGCGCTTGACGCATTTCCTCCCTCTCTCTCTCTCCTGTGAGTTTCCTGCTAGAGTTTGTGCATGCGATTTTGTATTCCCTCTATGCTCTTTCTGATGAAGCTATCAATTCCCCGATTTGATATATCTTGTCAGGTAGGAAATTCGTAAACGATTCTAAATTTATCTTTTTATCACGACGATCAGAATCAGATTCCAAATCATGCTAGTCGTGCCATAGATATTACTATTTGCAGATTCAAAGCCTCTAGGTTCTCTCCTCCAATGGCCCGTGCATTACGCTGGAATATTAATTTCTACTAATTACAGATTTTTTCTTTTGCTTTGCTTTGCCCGAAGACTTTTAATTTAGGTTAATCTGAAAAACCTAATTCTATAAGATTATATTAGATACAATTAGACTCGATCTGAATACATATGTGAGGAGACTGTGTTACTCAATATATTTTTTTTAATGATAGTGGAACAATTTTTCTTAAATGGTTCGAGAAAATTCATGTATGAAGATTGTTAATCTATATATCGAAAAATACATGTGTTCGACTTTATAGACCTCACAAAGATGCCTCGAAGGTACTGTCGTCACAAGAGAAGAAGCAATCCTAGGATCCTCTTCCTGTCCGTGGTAGACTTCACAAGATTGTGATCCTGTCAATTTCTTTATATCTCGAATATTTTCGAATAGTTTTACTTCCTATAGAAATCACACTGGCTTCGTCTGGTCTTTGTTAGTGGGGTCATTGTCACATCTCGTTGGCAGTTCACATTGACAAAGTCATCCTTACTCACATTTTCTTACGCTAATTTAGCATTACCTGCTTCATAATTCAAACGAAAAATTATCTGATCGGTCCTAAATCTATTGTAAGAATGTCAATTCGGTCTTAATCTTTTCAATTTTGCCAATTTAGTTGTAAAAATTTTGTATGACATTCCAATGTAATCTTTCCGGCCAACTTTTGCCTAATATTGCTGCCGGCAGCTTGTCTAGTGATAGCTTAATTTTGGACAGTGTGGACAATATACTGATTGGTGTAGAGACATAGTTGAAACATGTACAAGTATTATGACGTGGAACTGTTGTGGAATTAACATTTGTTCCATTTAATTTCAGCCACAAATTCCTTTTTGACCTAAAAATTGAGCATATATTCTGATTGCTTTTGGATTATCGTATAGGCTATATAGTGACTTGTACATCCATGCAAAACATTGCGTACTGTATTTAGTGCGAATGATGTCATAGACCGAACTGCATATTAGTAGATCGAAGTCACGGACCGATGTCAAATTTTATAGATCAAGGGACAAAATCTAACATAAATTCCTCGTCTTCTGTTTGTTGCTCTCGGTAGCTACGCATCGGAATAATGCTGATTGTGCTCTAACATCCTTAAACTAACAACTAATAGCACAAGAATTTGCTCGTTCCACGAGAAAACAGGCACCACCACAGTTGGTCGTTCCATCAAAAGAACAATTCGCAACATCTAATGAAGACAGCCGGCCCAAGATGCTATCCGAAACTTCAAACGAGTTTGAGAACTATGCTCCTTTCATTGTCCATTTCAAGCTGTTAATTCCACTGTCAAGAATACCTGATGCATGACGGAGCCTGCACAGACCAATGTTAGTGTCTTCATATCAGGCGCTCTTGTTTTGAAGTGATCACAGTCGTCGATATCGCTCGGCTGTCTAGGTAGCTTGGAATTTAGTTTCTCGTTCTCTAACTGAGTACGGATGGATGCCTTCGGCATTCAAGGATGAGCGCATGGATTGAAGAAATAAGTTACTCAGGACTTCCCAATGGTGCTTGCAACGACGGCCGTTTCACCTTATACTTGGAATTCAGCTTCTCGTTTCTGATAATATCACACCACGTTCACACCCTCCAGCCTTTCGTCCTAACATTTTTTCTCGGTTTGATCGGCGCCCGAGCTCACGTCTATCCAACCACAGGCCTCAACACCCCATGGACAGCAAGTTTTGACGATTATGTTGGGTTCTCTCGCCTGATCCCCATTCTTCTTCGGAGCCATAATGGCTCGGCATTTGCCTGTGGCTTCTATTCCCAAGGCTATGAAAATAGTTACTCTTTCGTCGTTTCCATCGTTCACACTGACCCGCATTCTATTGTCGCCAGCAGCGTGACTCCTGCGGTGGTGTGGTCTGCTAATTGGGACCGTCGTGTTGAAGCCCAGGCCACCGTGGAACTCACAGAAGGGGGAGATTTGGTATTGAGAGATGCCGATGGCTCCGTCGTGTGGTCAACCCAAACTTATAGTAAGTCTGTTGCTGGCATCGACTTGACAGACACCGGAAACCTTGTGCTGTTCGATGAGTGTTGAAGATACCGTTGCCGATGCTGATTGATCTTAATTGATCTTGAATGGTGTATTGGTGGAAAATTAGAATATTGCATATCAGGCAATCTTAGGGAATCTTTTATTCTCTATTTTGTATATTTTCTTTCCCTAATCATCTAGACTTCTTGTACTATAAATAGGGCTGTAATTACACTTTGTTTGATATGAAAAGCAATACACAATTCCAATCTTCAATCGCTTTCCATCCTCTAAACTTCTGACATGGTATCAGAGCCTTCCTACATAACCTAGCTTCTGCACAGCATCACTTCCGCACACCAACATCCTGCATTTCCAAAGGGAGATATCATGCCGAGAAACCAAGACTCTGAAGCATCTTTCAACAATCAAAGAATAGAGGATACTTCCACAGAGCATCAACCAGATTCAACAACAGAAGAACAAGACCACACACGACCCAATGAGGGACTGTCGGGTCCAGTACAGCCCATTTCGGGGCCCATTCAAACTAACCCTGGACATTTTTTTTCTGGTCCATATGTTCAATGGGTTCCTGTGCAGGTTCAACCCATTCAGGGCCAAACGAACCAGAGAAGCTCAGCCCAAAATCTCAGCCCCATGGAGCCTGGTGAAAACAACGGGCCAGGAGGAGGCCCACCACTCGTCACCGAGCCCATTTCAGGGTATGGATCGGGTTGGTCTTTTTCGGGCCACAATGGATCGGGTTCGTCGGGTTTCGGAGGAAATCCCTACCCGACCTACGGACCCGGTTTTCTTCCGTTTCGGGGTGTCGCCGGCGGACGGCCAGAACCCGGCGATCCCCTGTATACGTCCGCCGCCGACGGACCCGAACTCCGCCTCGTCACCCAGCAGCTCTCGGGACCAGAGAACTATTATGTGTGGTCCCGCGAGCTCCGGCGAGCGTTAATTACCAAAGACAAAGAAGGCTTTATTGACGGCACCATCCCAATCCCGACCGACGATCGACTTGCACGACAATGGAGGAAATGCAATCAACTCGTGCGGACCTGGATAGGGAACTGCCTCACGCCGGAGGTCGCCGCCGGACTTCCTCCAACTGAAGATGCGAAGAAAATATGGGAAAATTTGCGAGAAATGTACGGGAAACTTGACAGGGCTAAAATTTTCTCACTAACTCAAGCCCTATCAGACCTCAAACAAGGAAATTTGTCGATTTCTGTCGTTTTCAACCGGTTGTCCGCACTGTGGAACGAACTCGAAATGGCCGAGGAAAAATTGGAAGGACCCGAGACCACATTGGCTCAATATCGAGCCATGAAAGAACGGGAAAAGGTAACACGCTTTTTGCTTATTCTAAATGAATCATACTTACCGTTTCGGAGCCAGATCTTGGCCATGGAACCCGTCCCCACGCTCGGCCGCATCTATCAACTTGCGGTTCAGGAGGAATCCCAGCGTTTGGCTTCATCGGAGTATATGAAGGTGGGGGACCGCGTCGTCCTTGCGGCCAAGGCCTCGCCGGAGCAGCGGCTTGTGGCATTGAGGTCCGGCCATGGAAGAAACTCACCCACGGCACTAGGGTTCCTCGGGGAAGAAGATGAAGTATCTTCATTTGGAACGAGCAGCCACGATTTAATCACCCGATCGGACGGCCCAGGGAGTGTGGCGAGATCAGACGGTTCATCACTGATCCTCGCGGCACCCAGATCAGACGGCAAGCATCACGCTACATCAGCACCCGCCTGGAAAGGATTTAATAGTCCAAATTCTGCCACATCATCAAAGGCTCAATCCAACAAAGGCAAAGGTAAATTTTGCGATTATTGCAAACGTCCTTATCATACTAAGGAAAATTGTTGGAAATTGCATGGAAAGCCGGCAGAAAAAAGGGAACGAGATGTCTCCATAGCGGCAAATGCCAAGGCCAACCAGCCCATCAATAATGATCAGTTTCAACAAATTATGAGGGCTTTAAATCAGATGGGAATACAGGACAAAAAGCCTAGCTATGCAGGTATTTCCTATTGTTTGATGAGTGCTATTTCGAATAAAGCATGGATTATTGATTCAGGTGCTAGTGACCATATAGTCTGCGATGAACGTTTCTTTTCCAAAATTACCAAGTCCTCCCCTCATACCTCCGTACGTCTTCCGAATGGAAGTGACACTTCCGTTGCTAAAATTTGGAAATGTTCAGCTAAATTCTTTCATCACACTCAAAGACGTTCTATTCATTCCAGACTTTCATTTTAATCTCATTTCCGTGTCCAAACTTTGCAAAGACAACTCATGTCGGGTTTTCTTTAACTCTGATGTCTGTCTCTTTCAGGCCCTTTTGACTGGGACACTGATGGGCTTGGGTAAAAATCACGAGGGACTCTATTTTTGGGCCACATTCCCCAAGGATTTTGATGTTGCACTTTTTCCTTCAAATAAAAGCATCTTATGTAATGCCCATAATAATAGAAATGTTCCTTTATTTCATCAGCGTCTAGGCCACAGTGCCTCCTTTCCTCATCCCAAATGCCCTATATGTCCATTAGCCAAACAATCACGAATTCCTTTTCCAAAAAGCACATCACGTGCCAATCAAGCTTTCTCTCTTTTACACATGGATATATGGGGACCATATCACACTCCACATCGTGATGGGTCGCGTTATTTTCTCACAATTGTGGATGATCATACACGAGCAACTTGGGTATTTCTCATGCAATCCAAGGCCCAAGTACTTTCTCATCTCAAGAATTTTTTCATCTTAATTAAAAATCAGTTTCACAAATCCGTACAACGGATTCGCACTGATAATGCTCGTGAATTCTTTAATCATGAATGCTCTTCATTATTTCTCTCCAATGGGATTCTTCATGAAAGTTCTTGTGTCTACACTCCCCAACAAAACGGGATTGTCGAAAGAAAACACCGTCATCTCTTAGAAGTTGCTCGAGCCCTTAAATACCAAGCTTCAATTCCGGAAATGTTCGGGAGATTGTGTGGTCACAAGACCTACTTAATCAATCGGATGCCATCTCGTATTCTCAATGGAAGGACTCCTTTCGAGTTATTATTTGGCAAACGTCCGGACATTCGTCACCTCCGTGTTTTCGGATGTTTATGCTATGTATCTACGATTGGCCCTCGGGACAAATTGGGTCCTCGTACCCTTCAGTGTGTATTTATGGGATATCCAACTCTTCAAAAGGGATATTTAGTCCTTGATCCTTCCACTGGACGATTCTTTGTCAGTAGAGACGTAATTTTTCATGAGGATACTTTCCCATTCCAGGATAAGTTATCTTCACATCGGGAAGAAGATCTGGCTACTTCTCATCATTTATTCTTAAGTGAAGATGATCCCCCACAAGCACAATTGATTATGCTCCCACAGGTGACACTTTCCTTAGCATCCCCTGATGTTGATGCAAGTCTCGCACCAGATATGGATAATGGGGCATCCAACAATTCACCACCAGCAATGTCTAAGACTTCTGTTCTCCCGGAATCGTCGAATAATGTCTCTACTGAATCACAAGATGATATTTCATTTGCACCAGTGAATCCTCGTCGTTCAGGCCGCACAATCCGACCACCTACATGGACAGCGGATTATATTTGCTCCTCCTTGGGTAAATCTGGTACTCAATACCCTGTTACTTCCTATGTTAGTTTTGCTCACCTTTCACCCGAACATATGTGCTGCATTAGCAAAATTTCTGAGCATCAGGAACCCTCCTCCTATGACGAGGCTACCAAAGATCCTCGTTGGCGACAGGCAATGGCAGATGAATTAGGAGCTCTAATGGAAAACAAGACTTGGGATTTCGTTCCTCTACCACCTCATCGAAAACCCATAGGCTGTAAATGGGTATACAAAATCAAGTACAAAGCAGACGGATCCATAGAACGTTATAAAGCCAGATTAGTCGCGAAGGGATTCACACAACGAGGAGGATTCGACTATACGGAAACTTTTTCACCGGTGGCAAAAGAAGTCACCGTTCGGTCTTTCCTTTCTATTGCGGCTCTTCGTGATTGGCCTCTCCATCAGATGGACGTCCACAATGCCTTTCTCCATGGGGATCTAGAAGAGGAAATTTACATGGACCTCCCGCCGGGATTACGCAGACAGGGGGAGAATAGTGTATGTCGTCTTCGTAAATCCCTCTACGGGCTCAAACAGGCCTCTCGTCAGTGGTATGCCAAATTCACTAATGCACTTACAAATGCAAAGTTCCAACAATCCAGGCACAACTATGCATTATTCACATGGAAACAAGGTACATCGTCAATCTACTTACTTATATATGTTGATGATATACTGATTATGGGGAATGATGCATCTGCCATTGAGAAATTCAAGAAGTACCTGCACTCTACCTTTCACATTAAGGATTTGGGATCCCCCAAATATTTCCTCGGGATAGAAATTGCACGATCGAATAAGGGCATCTGTCTCAGCCAACGCAAATTTGTCTTGGAGATCATTTCGGAAGCAGGATTGTCGGGATCTAAGCCAGCTGCTATTCCAATCGAACAGAATATCAAATTGACGACAGCTGAGTATGATAAAGGATTATCACCCATGAACAAGGATCTTTTGCTTAAAGATCCATCTGCTTATCAAAGACTCGTCGGGAAACTCATTTATTTGACCATGACCAGACCCGACATTTGCTATGCGGTACAGATTCTCAGCCAGTTCATGCATGCCCCAAAACAGTCTCACATGAATGCTGCATTGAAAGTTATAAAGTACTTGAAAGGATGTCCGGGATTAGGGATATTATTATCTCGGGACAACAACATGGAAATGACAGCGTATTGTGACACAGACTATGCTACTTGTCCCATGAGTAGGAAATCTATTACGGGTTTCTGTATAAAGTTGGGAGACTCATTACTTTCATGGAAAACGAAGAAACAATCAACTGTTTCTTTATCATCTGCCGAAGCAGAATATCGAGCAATGGCAAAGACTAGTTGCGAGATAGTCTGGATAAGAGGTCTACTCCAAGATCTCGGTATATGGGTAAAAGAACCAACTGTCTTATTCTGCGACAATGATGCTGCTCTCAAACTTGCAATGAACCCAGTCTTTCATGAAAGGACAAAGCACATAGAGGTTGATTGTCATTTCATCAGGGATAAGATTCAGAATGGGGTGATCAAAACAAAAGGAATAAGAACAACAGAACAGCCCGCAGACATTTTCACAAAGGCTTTATGTCACAGGCAACATTCATATCTACTAAGCAAGCTGGGCGTTCTTGATGTGTATAGACCGCCAAGCTTGAGGGGGAGTGTTGAAGATACCGTTGCCGATGCTGATTGATCTTAATTGATCTTGAATGGTGTATTGGTGGAAAATTAGAATATTGCATATCAGGCAATCTTAGGGAATCTTTTATTCTCTATTTTGTATATTTTCTTTCCCTAATCATCTAGACTTCTTGTACTATAAATAGGGCTGTAATTACACTTTGTTTGATATGAAAAGCAATACACAATTCCAATCTTCAATCGCTTTCCATCCTCTAAACTTCTGACAATGAGCACAAAAATGCGGTGTGGCAGTCCTTTGATTACCCTACGGACACGCTACTCCCAGGACAAAAATTGAGGGTGCGGCAGAAATTGAGCCCTAGTGATTCCGTGACAAACACGAGCGAAGATCGTTTACTTTCGTTTTCTCTGGGTTCTGATGGTTTATTTGCTCAGATGGAGACTAACCCACCGCAGGTTTATTATAATTTGGGCATAAATTTTCCAAACACAAGCGACGACTCTAATTATGTTGAATTCACCCAAGGACATTTTGCATTGTTTGTGTGAATTTCGCGAGAAACAGTTCTTTGTTTTCCGATTTTGATTCGTCTGCTGCTCTGCAGTACTTGAAGTTTGAATCTGATGGACATCTGAGGGTGTATCAGCAGCATCGAAGTGAGTGGATCGTGGCACATGATATTCTAACAAGTTCCATTGGGGATTGCGGTTATCCCATGGTTTGTGGTAATTATGGAATTTGTACTGGACATGGGACGTGCAGTTGTGCGGATCCTTGCTTCAAGCAGAGAGTTGATGCAGATCCTAGAGCCGGATGCTCCGAAACAGTACCTTTGTCTTGTGAAGCTTCGCAATCTCAAAGCTTTATGGAGTTCTTTGGGATTGTTTACTTCACCGGCAGGGAAGACACCCAAGATATTCGAAATGCAGATCAGGAGAGTTGCATGAAGGCTTGTGCGAACAACTGTTCATGCCGAGCGGCTTATTATCATATAGAAATATTTGGCCAAAACAATTCAGGTCCATGCTACTTAGTGTCTCAGGTATTTTCGATTACAAACTTGGTAGGTTCGTCTCAACGATTGATGATTTCCATTAAGGTGCAGAATCCCCCGAGTGGAATTCAGATTCCTCACATTCCTAGTGAACCTCCTGTTTCTCTCAATATAAATGAACCTCTTGTCCCTTCCAATATAAACGAACCTCCTGTTTCTCCAAACTGTAAAATGGCAAATGCCGTTCCGATACTAAAAATCACTTCTAGTCTCGGATCACTCTTAGCCT